GCTCCCCTGCGGAAGTGGGGAATGTGGCCAGGGGGAACTGCCCTTCCACGGAGGGGGAAGGGATAGTAGCCAACCCGGGAAGAACCAGCAGCAAACCCGGGGAGGGCCGAGCAGACGAAAGAACAGCGCAGGGTCCTGTGTCGTTCCCCCACGAAGACGGGGAGCGACACAGGCCTTGGGTCCATTACATGGTGTCCAGTGCACTCTGATCCTGCAGACCACCATCCTCCTGTATCCCAACTCTTCCTTCCTTCCCTGTGCCCACCTAGTAGCCATGAACAGCTCCCATTTACCTGTAGGGGCTAGAGGAGTAAAGCATGGAATTCTTCCTGGAGGAAGGTGCACTTGAACTGAGCCCGAATAACCTGAGTGAGCCAGATTTCCAAAATCAGAAATGACAGGACATAGAGCCTGTGCTATGTGCAAAGGCCTGAGTGGTATTTCTGGACATTTGGAGATGGACATAGGTATGAAAATGACCATACTTGTAATATAAGCTGACTTGAATGACTTAGCTGTGCCTCCAGATTTGGGTGAGAGTTTCCACTTGGTTCAGGACCACACGGCAGCCATTGGCCACCAGGGACCAGATTTTGCCTTTATTTTATGGAATCTTTGGGTGGATATTCTCACCACTTCTTTGATGCAACTTTGAACTTTGCTCCCATGTGTCAGTGTTGTTATCAGAGACCTTGTTTCTGTTATTTTGCAGCTGAAAATGAGAAAAAGCTGCTGAGTTGGCATGTGTGGGATTCTGACAGCAGCTGGTCATCAGCTGCCTTTGTGACCAATTTAGTGTTTCATTGAACAACGTGTTTAAAGTTCAGAATTGATCTTCCTGTGTTGTCCTCAAAAGGAAATGGAACACAATTTCTCATTTTTAAAAGATCTATTTATTTATTTTGAAAGGCAGCACTATAGAGAAAGAGGGAGACACACACACATACAGAGTGAGAGAGACAGAGAGAGAGAGAGAAATCGTGCATCTTCTGGTTCATTCCCCCAAATGACCGCAAAGGACCCATCTGGGCCAGGAACATAGAAATCCATCTTGGGTCTCCTACATGGGTGTAGGGCCCAATATTTAGGCCACCTTTTGCTGCTTTCCCGGGTGCATGATCAGGGAGCTGGATTGGAAGTGATGCAGCCAGGACTTGAACTGGAGTGCTGATATAGGATGCTGACATTTCCAGTGGTAGCCTAACCACTGTACCACAAAGCCAGCCCCAATTTTTGATAATTTCACAGTGATATAAGGAAATGAAATTCAACGTCTTCTTTAATAACCAAAAATTGCCTGGTGATTGCCACAGAACCCTTATATTTTTTGTAAGTGTGTATTTAACATAATTTTATTCAACCAATGGTACTTCTTCAAAGTTTGGTGTTGGGGCTGGTGCTGTGGTGCAGCGGGTTGAAACCCTGGTCTGCAGTGCCGGCATCCCATAGTCCCAGCTGCTCCACTTCCGATGCAGCTCTCTGCTATGGCCTGGGAAAGCACTAGAAGATGGCCCAAGTCCTTGGGCCCCTGCACCCATGGGGGAGACCCAGAGGAAGCTCCTGGCTCCTGGCTTTGGATCGGCGCAGCTCCGGCCTTTGTGGCCAATTGGGGAGTGAACCATCGGATAGAAGACCTCTCTCTCTCTCTCTCTCTCTCTCTCTCACTGCCTCTCCTCTCTGTGCAATTTTGACTTTCAAATAAATAAATAAATCTTTTAAAAACTGAAAGTTTGGTGTTATTGGGGCCGGCGCTGCGGTGCAGCAGGTTAAAGCCCCAGCCTGCAGCACTGGCATCCCATACGGGAGACGGTTGGAATCCTGGCTGCTCCACTACTGATCCAGCTCTCTGCCATGGCCTGGGAAAGAAATAGAAGATGGTCCAAGTCCTTGGGCCCCTGAACCAATGTGAGAGACTGGGAAAAAGTTCCTGGCTCCTAGTTTTGGATCAGCTCATCTCTGGCTGTTGCGGTCATCTGGGGAGTGAACCAGAGGATGGAAGACCTCTCTCTCTCTCTCTCTGGCTCTAACTCTCTCTCTGTAACTCTGACTTTTAAATAAATAAAATAAATATTTTTTAAAAAGTTTGGTGTTATTTACATTTTACAAATATGGAGAATCATTGTCTGGTTAGTAAGAGTTTGTAGCTTGAAGACCCTGAAGGGAATTAAAGTCCAGGGATCCTATTCATTGTGTTTGCAATATAGTGGCATGGAGGTTTTTCCTGCATTCATTTGGATTTGTTTGATTGTGATTTGGCTTTGTTACATAGAGTTTCTAAATGAAAGTCTTTTCAGTGTGCGCATTCTGGAATGAATTGTTTAACCCTACCCTTGATGTTTTACAAGCACCATGGATTCTTATTAGCCATTTTTTCCCCAATCAGGATTGGATCCAGTGTGGCTTTTAATTTAACATGCTTGTTCACATTGCATTCAATTATGTTTTTGTCTCAGGTATCCACATAAGTGTCTTTGAAAGGTTTTGTGCAATTTTCAATTTACAGAGAGGAAATTTATGTATGATTGAGTGCATTTTATTTTATATCATAATTTACTGTTTGACCAAATAATTAGAAAAAAATCTGGTGTAATTTCTGCTTCATAAATGTCCTTGAAAGCAAACATTTTGAGATCATCTTGTTTGTAAATAAGAAACTTAATCAGTTGTCTGAGTCCTTGATATTTTATGTTGTTGGCAACCATTAAATAGTGTGGAAATTTATTTTACAGAAAAATTGCATTTTAGTATCACTTTATTCAATTAAATATGGTCCTGGTCCTTTTCATAAATTTGTGTTAAAAACTTTTTCAGTGTTTTCAATGTGCAAGTGAGGAAAAAATAGATTTAATTGGCTTTGTTCCTCATGCTTTATGACAATTACTAGCCTCAAGTTGCCAACTCGCCTAAACTTTCATTTTATTTTACGATTAAATAATTTTAATATCATTGTAATTGTTCAGGTTTTACTCTTTGCATATCTTATTTTATAAATCTATCAAAGCTAAAGAAATTTGGGGTATTTTTTATGCAAAACCAAACACATTGACCTAGTGTTTGCTGATCTGTGAAGTGAATGCCCAGGAGACTCAAGCATCAGCTGCTGCTAACTTTATTTGGAATTCACTTCCCAGATCAATTGTGTATTGAATGTCACGTTATCCAATCCAACTCTGTTCCTAGTTTTTTGCATAAGTTTCCTTAGAATATTGTGGGCAGTTTTCAACTCAAAAATAAGGAAATTCATGGTCATATTGAGTGCTTTCATTTCTTTGGTAGTGAATGACACTTGCAGGTCATATTCTAGAGTTTTATTTTTGAACCAATTATGTATTTAATATACTATTTTAATTTACATTTGACTTTAACCTTTGTTTCATCTATTCCTCCATGAAAAATTGATTTGTATAGTTTCTGTATGTAAACAAGGCAAAGAAGTATTTTCTAGGGTCAGGGAGGTCAGGACAAGAATTGACTTGAAATAGGCGACTTCTTTCTGATTCCAACATGTGCTGTCCCCTCCCCTTTGGCCACCTGGACGGTGTCTTATGTTTTTAGTGATTCATTTGTTTATTTTAAAGGCTGAGAGGGGGAGAGAGAGAGAGAGAGACAGAGAGAGACAGAGAGAGAGAGAGAGAGAGAGAATCTTTCATCTGCCAGTTCTGCTGGTTCACTCCCGGATGGCCACAACAGCAGGGCTGGGCCATGCTGAAACCAGGAGCCAGGAACTCCATCCTGGTCTCCCACATGGGTGACAGGGGCCCAAGTATTTGGGCCATTATCCACTGCCTACCTAGGCAAATTAGAAGGTTGATGGTGGAGCAGCCAGGAGTGAATCAGGCCTTGTATATGGGATGCTGGCATCTTACGCTGTGGCTTAACCTGTTGTGCCACAATGCCAGCCCCTCAGTCCCATTTAGAAATCAATGAGATTGTTTACTGGTATTTGGATTTTGCTTGGCCTGTATACTTGTTACAGGCAGAAATTTGAATCTGATGACTTGGGACAATAACTAGCCTCATTAATTTTGACTTTTCAGGGACAGCCCTAGGCCTTGAACAGTATCTAAGTGTGAAGTGAAGACACTTTCATCACATGTCCATTGTCTGTAGTATCCTCAGGGTATACTTGCCAATAAAGAATAAATACCCTAAACATGCATTATATTAGCAACAGAATAATTTTCCATTGTTTTCTCCTCTTCAGCAAACTATGTTCAATATTAGATGACAGTAAAAAGAGTTGAAACCTACTGTGTTACCCAATGCTGACTGCTGAAGCCTAACACATCAAATTGCAGTTGTATAGTATATTATGTATTTTGTGATCTTTAGTGCCAGCATTTGGTGACATATGGAGACCCAAAACACATTTGAAAAGTTTGTTTTGCATAATCTTTGGTAGCATGAGTTCCTCCAATCTGTAGCAAAGGAGAACACAAGGTCCACTCTAAATGTTTGTTATCCATAGTTTAGCATGAATCAGTTACCTTGTTACTGAAGAATAACACAGAAGGAATTCTCTGGGACTTCCCTTCTAGAAAAATGTGGTGTTGCCTGTCAGTGTAACATTTCATATTTTTTCTGTGCTGTCTTAAAAAGGACCTAGGACAGGGAAAGTCAGGCCTCTGACAAGCAATGCTATCAGGTTTTGTGATCTAGTGGACACAGTCTATCTTACATTATTAAGTGGCTTACCTGGCACAGGTCATATGATTCAGTAATCAGGCCCCACCATGCATTTTCAGAAAATCTTCTACATCAGGGAAATAAGACCGCTAAAAATGAGATTCCAAGTAGCTCAAACAACTACAGTGCTGCTAGACACCCCCAGGCAAGATTCCTTGAAGATCTGTAACATCACCAGCTACTTCAGGTCCCGTGGTGGAAAGTTCCAGGACTCCACAGCCTGTGAGCCTCTAATGTGAGGAGAGTGGACCCAGAACCAGCTGCTTGTACCGAGCAGACAAGTAAGAGAAATATGCACTTTACTGGTGTTTTCTAGCTTAGAGATTCATGGAAGGAATGTCAACAACATCCCAAATGATGATGCAGCTGAAGGGACATGGTTTCTGCTTCTCTCCAACACCTGTCACCACACAAAGTTAAGGTCAGTCCACGTGGACTAACTCTTTGGTAGAGACCCAGTAAACTAACTCTGTGGTAGAGACCCAGCTAGGCAGTGCCATCTTTTGCATTCCTCTGTTCACCATGGGTGGACACGGCTGTAAGAGATAGCTTTACTTTATTGTAATGTTTGATTTGGTTTCAAAACACCTGACCTTGAAATTTTCACATGAAAGTATTGTATTGTATGAAAGTATTATATTATAACTGGAACTCTTGCAATACTAGGCACCAAAAGGATGGACTGGAATGGACTGTCAAAATTAAACTTCAGGACTGCAGTGCAGGAACAGTGAGAATGCTACCCAGGTAATCTGCAGGTAATTAAAGCCAGGATTATTGATGGCAAATGCGACAGGTGGGACCCAGGGGTCAACTGAGTGGTGGGTTCTGTCAGTCTACCTCACCCTGGAGGGGAGAACATATGTTAGGTAGAAGTCCTGAGACAAGGCTAGCAAAGATGGTCATGCATAGGTCAGTATCCCAACCTGCCGTATGCTGCAGGCCAGTTCTTTGCTTTGCAGACATTGCTAGGGCGACACATAAAGTTTCTTCAGAGTTTCCAGTGTGTGAGTGTGAAAGCTTTGTGGTACTCTCTTATTAATCATTTTTAAGACTAACTTCTTTCACTTGCATGATGGTAATCATTCTAGGGCATCATGGGAGTCGTGAAGGTCACGTGTGGTGGTCACTGGGGAGTGCCCAGCGCCCAGGTGCTGCTGAGGAGGTTAGTCTCCCATTTCCTGAATGCACACACTGCAGAGGAGCGTGAAGGCTCTTGTGTAAGGCTTCTTCATGTCTCTGCCCCACAGGCTGGGCTCCAACGTCTTCCATGGATGTGTTTCCTTTCACAGGGCCAGCGAGTTTCCTGGGGATCGCTGGGATGTCTCCCTGTGAAGCACCGGGCATCCCGTGATCCTGCCTTTCCTTCCTCTGAGCCACATCCCCTACCGGCGACTGACTACTGCCTCAGAGGCTGACAGTGGTCAGCACCCACACCTAACAGGACTAGCCATGGCTGCAAAGTGTGCCTGCTCCCTGGGGGTCCCTTCACTCTAGTGCCCAGATGTGGGGTTGGCTCTCTGTTTGCTTCTGTAAAGTCACTTCCACTCTCATGGGGATTCACTCATGGGAATTCAGGCCAAGGCATCAGACAATGGGAGGGTGGAGAACAGTGCTGAAGGTCAGTGAGCTCTCTTCTGAGATGTTCTCCAGCTGACCTCTAAACTGCGGTCTCAGTGTAACCTTGGGTTGCTCTCATTTTTAAGAAGATTAATTTATTTTTGTTTGAATGTTAGAGTTATACAGAGAAAGGGAGAGACGCAGAGACACACAGAGAGCTTCCATCTGCTGGTTCACTCCCCAGATGGCTGCAACAGCTGAGGCTGGGCCAGGCTGAAGCCAGGAAATTTCTTTCAGGTCTCCTACATGGGTGGCAGCTGCCCAAACACTTGGTCCATCTTCTGTGGCCTTTTCCTAGGACATCACCAGGGAGCTGAATCAGAAGTGGAATAGCCAGGATGTAAACCAGCACCCATATGGGATGCCAACATTGCAGGAGGCAGCTTTACCCATTATACCACAATGCAGGGCCCATGGGTTGCTCTCATTTTCTACTACCTCAAGGTTCATTCAGGAGGTGGCATCACAGAAACTGTGGTTCACTCACTCAAGGTTGATATCATGTTTCTTTTGGAATAGAAACTGACGTTTTGGCCTTTTTCCAGCACATTGCCATTCATATTTCTCTCATTGATACCAGTAATTGATTAAAATATTTGAAATCTGTGGAAGAGGGTATAGTTTCCCTTCCCTTCCCTTCCCTTCCCTTCCCTTCCCTTCCCTTCCCTTCCCTTGCCTTCTCTTTCCTTTCTTTCTTTAAGTTCATTTAATGAACATAACTATCCAAAGTACAGCTTATGGATTACAATAGCGACCTCTCATAACTTACTTCCCAGCCACAACAATATCACTCTCCAACTTCAATTTACGCTTCTATTCACATCAAGGATTTA